AGAGAGAGAGAGAGAGAGAGAGAGAGAGAGAGAAAGGAGGTAGGGTGATGTATAAGGAAAAGAGTAGGAGAATAAAAAGCTATAAACTAAAGTTACAACAAACAAGGGGAGAGTATAAAACAAATTACAGGATAGACAGCCTGACAGAAGCACGGAGATGAAAAATCAGGAATTAGAGTACACTTTGGCGTGAATGGAAACTCATCGATCAGGCACTCAAGGTTTGTGGTTTTTAACGCCGCGCACACACCGCATTAGTTGAAGGACTCTCCAAGAGCAAACGATCAGATTTCTACGATTTTTCAGATACCCATGAGTGACGAAAGATCGGGAAAGTAAGCGTAGATTTACATTATTTACTTCGGACTTGTAAAACGACGCAGAACAGCGATTGAATCACAAGATATACTTGGCGCCAGATTTGAGAAATGGATTAGACTTTCCATTTTTCCTTTAGGACTCGGACCGTTGATTTTTTTTTCTCATAAAAGTATAATTAACCCAGTTATCATTTACATAAAATGTGTGTTAATGGAGTACGATTAAAACAAAATCTACGAATACACAAGTGCCTTGTACAGCCAAACCCCGATATTACGCCTAGCTTAGGAAGAGCATGAAGTTGTTGGTAAAGAAGGGCTGGCGGCGGTATAGCGAGGTAGCACCGATTGTCATGTTTACCTGTAGAAGGCTGGTATAGACTAGAGATAAACTGTGGCCAGTTTTGCGCAATTGCCATGCGCTGGTAAGAACGAGTAGCAATCTCAATTACATTTACAGCTCCAGCTGAACTTTATGAAAGTTCAAATTAAAATTTTTGCTGGATTAGAAGCTAGGAAATATATTACGTCAAGGACGCTGAAGACGGACAGTTGTAATTTTTTGAAATCCAATACTTGTCAGTCCTCAGGCAGCTTTTTAATACCTTTAACGTAGACTTGAAAGTGAGTACTCACAATAAGAGAACCTCACTGGTGCCCTCCACCCTATTGGTCTTCGGATGGATACCTGTCAACGTCATACTTTGCCATCAAGCCGAGGTGGCGCAGTTCCCTTGACGTTTCTCAAGGCGACTTCATTTTTTTTAAAAATTACAATATAGACCAAGCCCACAAATAACAGCATTTCTTAATCAGCGCGAATCAGGAACATCGGCGACAAACATTGAAAACTGGGAAACTGATTATCAAGCCGCCACCGAGCGGATACTGTGCACAGGGTGTACTTAGCCGTACTTCTGGAGCTCAATTCACTGGCGGTATGTCGGGGCGAATTATACAAGGACCAAACCACTGTTACTCGGACAGTAAGCAGATGGCGGTGTGAAGGCGCAAATACTATGTTTATATCGGCGTTCCTTTTCGTACATAGGCAAAAACCTGGCGGTAAGCAGGGCTGGCGAGGGGT